AGAGGTTTGATACTATGTCCATTTAGCATAATAATAGTAGTAGGTTTACCTTAGGGGCCTAGAAGCTCCCAAACTTTGGGTTCTTGGCCAGATTTACAATGCCAGGTATGTGTTTTCTCTTGTGGAGCAGGACTTAAATTCGATCAGAAAGTGGTAGGTTGTCCCTATAACATTCATGCTGTTATTGAACCCCTGGGCATGTGTTTCTGCTCCAGTAATTTTTGTAGTTCACAGGGTTTACTTCTGGTTAAGACTATTAACGATTTCCTCCCATTCCCAGCATCTTACATAGGACTTTCTGGTACTATGAAAGCTAGCCATCACTGAGAAGGCTTTCTTGTCAATGTCAAATTGATTTTTCCATGTCCTGTGGTCAATGTGTGTGGCGCCTTCAGCAATGGGGTCTCACCATCAAGTTCTGGTGGGCAGTCAAGAGCAATGGTACTGATTTAGGAGACTCTGGAACATCTCTGACCAATAACTTGAGGGGAAGTATCCCACACCTGGCACTGAGCTTTTTACCTGGAAATCTGTATCTTATGGAATTAGCATAACCTCCTGTGTAGGATATGTCCAATTAGACTCTTTTATGTGGAAACCTATATGAAGATTATAAAACCATAAGTTTCCATATGATTGTTTTAAACATCCTTAATGTTGGTTGTCCCTCCTCACACCCTCTCCTCCTAGTACTGACCAAGAAGCTTCCTCCCTACAGGTAAAAAGAGAACTTTGGTTTTGTTTTGGTTTTGTTTTGGTTTTCAATACAGGGTTTCCTGTGTAGCTTTGGAGCTGATCTAGAACTCACTCTGTAGACTAGGCTGGCCTCAAATTCACATAGATCCACTAGCCTCTGCCTCTTCAATGCTGGGATTAAAGATGTGTGCTACCATCACCCAACCAAAAAAAAAAATGTGTGTGTGTGTGTGTGTGTGTGTGTGTGTGTGTGTGTGTGTAGAAGTACAAATACAAAACCACATAGTTTGAAAAATAGTTACTAAAGCCTAGCTACACACCTATAGCATGACCTCTGGAATCTCACTTCCTGCTCTCCCTAGTTTACAAATTGGCCATGGGAAAACTGGTAAATAATTCTGACCTCTTTGTACTTCAGTATCCTACATTATAATTAAAAAGAACAATAGCATCTGTATTAGAGTCTCTGGCACAGAGCAAAGGTCATGAAAATATTAACTATCAGACCAAGTATGATATAGTACAGGAATTCAAAGATGGTTCAAAACTAATGTAATTCATTAAGTTAACAAATATAAAGTTTTGTTAAAAGTCTCAATTCACATGTGTACATGCTTAAAGCTTGAAGCTTGCTCTGTTCTCAATACTAGTAAAAGGTTTCAAATTCTTCACATTCTCCCTTCAAAGACCCTTGTGATGCCAGACTCCTGGGATTTGTTTACAACACACTCCATATGATTTTGTCCCTAGCTTTGTCATTAAGATTTCTTAGTTCAGATTCAAGTCATTACTGCAAGCACAAGTTGGTGGTAGGGTTCAAAGCTATTGCTTCTTAAAGTAAAGGGTGGGTAGTGGCCTATTCTCATACTTATTTGCATATGTGACTGCTATTGGAGTTAGGATTAGTTTGGAGCCAGTGTCCCTGGGCAGCCCTAAGAAGCCAGGTTTGGTTACCCATACTCAATTAGCCAAATATTGCCAAATTAATAGTAAAAACCAGAAAAGGGAAATTCATTCCAATGTAGTCACATTAGGAAGAAGAATAGCAATCCAGTGATCTATAAGTCTATTTTCAGGGTCCTAGACATGAGATTAAAGTTTAAGAAGGCCATAATTATGCATAGTCAAGCACTCCTAGTCAAGGAGTGGTCCCGCCCATCTTTTTTTATTTGTTTGTTTGGTTTTGTTTTTGTTTTTGGAGACAGGGTTTCCCTGTGTAGCTTTGCCCCTTTCCTGGAACTCACTCGGTAGCCCAGGCTGGCCTTGAACTCACAGAGATCTGCCTGGCTCTGCCTCCCGAGTGCTGGGATTAAAGGCATACACCACCACCACCACCCAGTGGTCCTGCCCATCTTTAATCCACAGTCCTCTTGGCTCTAGTCTCTCCTGTAATGTGGTCTGAAGATTCTGTGAAATTCCTTTAGAGAAGACAAGTCCCTCCTCTGGCAGGCACCAGGCTTCAACCTTTTCCTTCTTCCAACATGAGACTCCTGGAGGAAACTCTAGCCCCCGGGGTACCCTGTTTCACTGTCTGACAAGTGTCACTCTAGAATGTTCTCATTCCTTTTAGGCTTATATGACAGTCACATGAACTTGTATACATGGATGTTATTTTAGGTTACATAAAAGATGAAGAGAATATTGGTCCAAAGGTGAGACATGTCTGTTCTCACAGGAAATTACTAGCCAGTGAGGATATGGCTGCTTCTCAGAGCACACTGAATGGTCCTGTCTGATTGTTTAGTGCCTTCTGACAGTTCCTCTTGGGGACTAGTTCTTCTCTAAAGGACCCTGCAAGAGCCTCCCATTAAAGCATAGCATCAGTTGCACATGTAGGTCCACGGTGTGCTATTACTAGGGCCTTGTGTTTTAAGGAGCAACTGCTCATGTGTAGGAACTAAATTGACAGGTCAGTTCTGTGACCTGGCATTCACACAGCCCATAAGAAGTTTCCTCTGAGAGGTGAGGTGGGACCACATTGTCCTAGCATTGTGAGGCTCACAATTTTCTCCCATTCTTCTTTTTTAATGTTTGATGTGTATCGATAGTTGGTGTTTGTTTACCCATTTCATTTTTTTATTTTTGATATTATAATATAATTACAATAATTCTCCCTTCCCTTTCCTCCCTCCAAACTCTCCTATATACCCTTCCATTCTCTCTTTCAAATTCATGGCCTCTTTTTTCACCAATTGTTACTGCATGCATATATGTATATTTATATACATATACATTCCTAAATAGAACATACTCAATCTGTATGAAGCTACTTGTATGTATGTTTTCAGGACTGACCAAGTGGCACTGGACAACTAACTGATGTGCTCATCCCTGGGGAAAACTACTTCTTCCACTCCCAGCTTTCCTCAGTTGCCTATAGTTATTTGTGTAGGGCTGAGGCCTCCTGTTTCTTTTTTCCTCATGACTCCACAAAATCAGACAGTTTGTGTTAATCACTAAAGTGCTTGCTCCTAGAATGGGGAATGATTCTTTCTTGTTTTGTTTTTTGTTTTTGTGCTTTGCTTTGTTCTTTGTCTGTTGTTTGTTTTGAGATAGAATTTTCCTATGTAGCTCTGGCTGTCCTGGAACTCTCTATGTAGACGAGGCTGGCTTCAAACCGAGGGATTCACCTGCCTCTGCCTCCCAGGTGCTGAAATTAAAGATGTGTGCTACCACTGCCCAGCCTGGGAATGACTCTTCCTTTTCTCCTCTTCCTACTCCTCTTCCTCCTCCTCTTCTTCTTCTTCTTTGTTTTGTTTTTTGTTTTTTGTGGGTTGTTTTTTTATTTTTTTTATTTTTATTTTTATTTTTTTTGAAACAGGATTTCTCTGTGTAAAAGCCCTGGCTGTCGTGGAACTCAATCTATAGACCAGGCTGACCTGGGAATCAGAGATCCACATGTCTCTGCCTCCTGAGTGCAAAAGGAGGCATGCTCCACCACATGATTCCAATCTGCCTTGGGTAGTGTCTTAGTCAGGGAAGCTGTGGGGAATTAAGCATCCTTGCTCACAAATGTTAGAAAGATCATCTCAGGGGCACAGTGGGGAAAGGATACTTTTCACTATGAGAGTTCAGAGGTCACCGAACGGTGGTCAGCTTTCTTTTTCCCATTCTGCTCCTCCTTAGACTGAAAAGGGGGATTGGTAACATTCCTAATGAACAGTCTCCTCTTTGCAGGCCCAGTGGTAGCAACCCTGGAGTCTTCATTCAGACTCAGAACCTCTTAACTCAGTTGTGCACTGGATGCCAATACCCTGGACTGGATGCTGGCTCCACTCACATTTCACTTTCTCTGTGCAAATAGACCAAAGAAAATGCCAGAAAATCATCTGATGAAGTTCAACATACAGATTACTGATTTAAAAGAAAAAAAATGTACATTGGGCTAGGGGTGTAGCTCAGTGGCTTAGTGCCTGCCTTGCCAAAATAACTGGAAATAAACTTTGGTTGAGTATAAGATCAATTGAAAAAATAATTCTTTCCCTGAAACCAGCAATATCTCACTAAAAATGTGTCCAAAAATAATGTAGTAACAATGACACATAATGTCATTAAAAAATAGACCTAATAGCAAAGAGGGGCAATGTCAACTTTTAGAGCTTTAGACTGTTAATCTATAAGACTGGGAATATATGTGTTTCTTTCTTGCTGTTTTGATCTCTGACAACCCTCAACAGCTTGTATGTTGAGTCCCAAAGACACAGAGTAGATGGATCTGCTTAGCAGTTAATGTTTTGTGAAGGTGTAGTCCACATTGCTCCATTTGGCTTTCTCCTGGGCTTCTTTTTGCCCAAGAAAAGATGGAAATGCAGGGAGAGTGTCAGAAGGCAGGAACACAGGAGCTTTCTAGAAATAAGATGTACAGGTGGCCGTCTCCTCAAGGCATAGTTACACTGCTATGAATAACTGCGGTGTGGATCATGGACCCATTCCACGTAACTGAGACTAGAGTAGATCACACAATCCACTTCATGCATTTGAGACTGAGATGGCTCATAGAAACCTGCACCTTGTGTCCCACCCTTGCCCATGGCACAGGAGAAACCATCCAGATGGCTGAGCAGGGGTGGACCACATGGGCTCATATCAGGAGTTATCTTGACACCAGCCACCCAGGGGTGTCATGTTCTTCTAGATACCTCTTTACCTCCCATGCCCCTAATCTGATTCTAACAAATGTTATCAGTGCTTGTCAAGTACTTGGTATGCGGCTTGTGATCAACAGTCTTTGCCATAGTAGTTGATATGGATAATGATTTGGTAGGTAGAGTAATTGCAATAATCACTTTATTTCCATCCCATAGACAAAGAAATAGGCTCAAAGAAAACAGTTATCCCCAAGGCTCAGAAGAAGACAGCCTAACACCTGGAGCATAGTTGACTTTAACAAAATAGCTGATTGAGTTAATGAGAGGAAAAAACAGAGTGCAGTCAGTGATATGCATGCCTCAGTGATGTAGAGTGAGACTGTGTCCATTAGCAGGAAATTACTTGAGATAGGGTCTGGAGTGGAAAGGGTGGTTCTTTTAAAATCCAGGGTGGCTGCTGTTAGGCCAAGAGGCTAAATTGGCACCTCCAACCCAAGGGAAGGGGCTATATATGTCAACCAGGGAGGGTGTGTTCCACCTGTACTATGCTGTAGCTCTCTGACGTCTTTGAGACCATGTTTGCCTTGAAAGCATGGGTGCAGATAATAATATAGCCTTGCTCCACCCACCAGGCATTTTCCAGAAGTTCCCTATGTCTGTCTTTATGTTTAACCCGGACTTCTAAATCTTGGGGCAGTGAAAGGGTGAGCTGCAGAAATATAGAAGGGGCAATGGCAGGCACTTTCTGTGTAATATAGAGGGTCCTTCCATGCTGGGACCTCATAGACACCATTTATAAATGAAGAAACTGGACAAGGCAAGGGAAAAGGATGTCTCCATCTCACGGTGAAGGCCAAGCAAGGTTGGCAATGGCTGCCTTGAATGAATGCTCAGAAGACTCTAGTGGGACTTTCATAATTCACTAATGATTATGGAGAAGAGTTTGGGGCCCATGTTGGAGATGGGGTCACTAAGAATGCTGCTAATTCTAATAGCAACAAAGAAATTTGGTTGAAAGGGAGTTGCAGCATCCTAGAGATCAGATGGAACATCGGGATAGAGGCTAAAGACAGTGTGGGATTTTATCTTTCTATCTAAATGCTTGATTAAAACTCACAAATAGCCAGCCGGTACTGCAGGCAGTTCCTATCATTCCAGGTCCCATCTGTATACATTTCTACACACTTCTCTTTGCCCCTTCCCTTGGGTTCCCCTGGGTACCAGTTGGTATAGTTCACAGAAGCCCCATCCAGGTATTGGAAATCTCCAGGGGTCTCATCTTCAACCATGCCCAGGTAGGCATAGGTGTTGTGCTTGTTCACGATGCTTGAGATGGCCTCATTCTCCTCTGGATTCCTTGGGACAGCAATGTTGCCACCTGCTCTGGTACATGTTTCTCTAATGGTATCAAAGTTGACTGACTGCCCATTGGTGGAGAAGACCTTCTCTCCCACTGACAACATGGATCCTTGCAAGCTGAGGACTAAGCAGAGGAGGCTAGGTTAGGCTGCTGACCTCTGATTATCCATCCACGCCACTGACTTAGGCTGTTGTCCTTAGGCTTTCTCCACAATCTCTCAATCTCTACTTTCTCAGTGTTTTCCCTTCCTCTTCCAGGCCTAGTTTCAAAGTCCATCTCTTTGTTCTCATCTATCTAAAAATTACTTATTGCCTGTATCTGCAGTTTCATGCTTTCCAATAATTTTAGGAGCAAATCCATGCCCACTTCTGTGTCTTTGAGGTCATTTTCAAAGATAGGATAAAAGGAAAGCATCCTTCCTTTCTCCAAAGCCCCATGTACACACTTACTCGCCGGGCATTTAGGTTCTGGATTCTGGTAGTGGAGATTATAGGGGAATATTGAGACTCTGTGCTTGGGAACACTCCAAGCAGTCCCCTTACCTCCCATTAATTGCAGAATCCTATGTTTGATCTCTTGGAGTTCAATCTGAAGTTCCTCATCCAGGTAAGCTGAAAACCCTGCGAAGACCACACACATCCAGAATGGGGACAAGCCAGCAAAGAGATCCATTTGCTCTGCCAGCTGTTAGGCTGGAGTTCTCTCATCTAATGCTGTGCCCAGAGGCCAGGCCCTTGTTCCAAGGGTCCAAGAGCGGGGTTTCCATACTTCTACACACCCATTTCTTAATGTAGCCTTGAACCCGCTCTGCTTTCCCATATCCTTGACTGGCACTACATGCCCATCTATGCATTTTTCTCACTTATGAAAAGGACCTCATCCCATACACTCTACCAAGACTGACAATGATGACCTCTGAACTCTCAGATGCCCCACTATATTGATCCATACCCTGGAGCATCTATCAGCATGTGTAATTCCTGATCATACTGTCTGCCTGGATTCCAAGTCCATATAACCTTGCCTAACTTTTGGGATGTCCCAGAGCCTCATCCCTAAGAAGCATCACTAGGCCTCCCAGTGCTGTGCCCCTTCCCATACAGGACACCATGTGTCCCTCTGTCTGCAGCCATGATGTATGTCAGTCTCTGAAATGTGTTATTCAACCCCCTACGGTTTCTCCCTTCAACTTCATATTTTCTTACTCAGGTTGGGCAATGTGCCTTGGACCCTTCCTACCATCCCTCATGTGGCTGACATGCTGTACCACATCACCACTGACATGCCCCCAGCCCTGCTCACCTGGAAGACCCCTCTCTCCAGGCTCTCCCTTGTCTCCTCGTTCTCCAGGTGCACCAGGGGCTCCAGGCAGCCCATCACGTCCAGGCATTCCTGGCATTCCTCCAGGGGGGCCCATGGGACCTACAGAGTAAGGAGGACACAGACATGTGGACCTCCATTAGCATGTGGGTGACTCACTTGTCGCTCCATCAGAACTTAGAAGACATGTGCTCCAGCCTAAGGACTCCAGAAAAGTCCCATCAGCTAGTGCCCTGGACAGGATGGCTCCTGAAAACAGGTCCCTGTGACGGAGCTAAGGATGGGTTCTCCCATATAGTACCTGGAGGCCCAGGGTCTCCTTTGATACCATCTCTCCCATCTCTTCCAGGCAGGCCATGGTTTCCAGGAGTGCCAGGGATACCAGGGCTTCCGGCACACACTTCTGTCCCATTGCACTTGATACCAGCAACGACAGTGAAGAAGAGGGCGAAGGCCAAAGAGCACAGTGACATGGCCACGGCACGAGTGGCTTCTCCTGCAGGAGGGAAGAGCTATCAGCCCCTCTGTAGCATGAGCATGGTTCTCCTCTGCCCACCCGCCCCCCATTTTTGCTACACTTTACAGGACCCAGGAACGCAGTAGATAATGACAGACAAGCAAGTGTAGTCAAGAGTACCAAGAAGACCCAAACTATCCGCAGCCAGAAATCCCCAGCACCATCTGACATCTAACATAGCCTCACATTCCAGCCCTCCAGCTTCACATCATATGATCCCCAGAGGAGGAGCTCTCAGGAGAGTCAAAGGCCTGAGTCCTCACAGAGACTCTTTTCTGTTATAACCTCACTGTGTAGCCCCAGGGGACTCACTGTGCCTCTCTGACCTTAGCTGACCCCGGTGTGCTCGGTAGATAATCCTAATAGCGTTGTCTGCTAGAAGGCGCGTAGTAACTCCTCACTTCACTCCATCTACCCCTCAATATTTTAATTTACTCTGTTCAGAGTTCTCATGAATCAGAGAGCCAAGGATAAACAGAGGTAAGCAAGGATCATGGTCTCCCTAAAATGTCAGTGGTAACCAGTACCTTCCTGCCAGTCAGCCCTTAATTAATATGTGGATCTTACCTCCAGAAATTCCAACTCCAGAAGACACCCAAGTGCTGGTGGCCAAGCGCACTCCCACACAGAGCCTGCAGATAGTATGGATGTCTGCCTCCAGCCAGAGTGGACATGTGGACAACATCATTTATAGACATGTAGGCTGCCAGCTTTCCCCACCCTCAGAGGCCCTATCACAAGGGGGGGGGGGGGCAGGCAGGAAGCAGCCATCTTGTTTACACAACTCCTCGGTTTCCTTCAGAGCATTTCACAAGAAAAGCACTTAGAACCCTTGAGGGGAGCACAGAATCTGTGGAAGGCAAACTCCAGGTGTGTGGGACGGGAATCTTTCTCTTGTCAAGATCACCTCTCTATTCTAAATTAACATGATTGGCTAGCAGTACAGAATGAAAGCCTTACCCAAGTTCTGATAAAGATCTACTACCACTCAGAAAAGAACAAACCACCAGAACAAACAGATACAGAAATATGACAAAATCTAGCTACTCGATCACTCACCAATGGTCATAGAAAAGAAAGCAGAGAGGAAATTATGATGTTGAAATATAATAAAGTTATCAGGAATAAATAACAAGGAGATTAAATAAAGGAGGATCAGGGAAAAGAAAAATGAAGCAAGGTTAAACAAAAGAATGTAGAGGGGAGAAAGAAGAGGAGAGAAGGAGAGAAGAGGAAGGAAACAGACCAAGACCAAAAAAAATGTATTTACATAATAAAAAATTAGATAAAGGTAGGAAGAGGAATGAAAAAACTTAAAAACTTTTTTCAGAATGAAATAAAGTGCAAAGCAGGGGCCAAAGTGATGGCTCAGCAGTCAAGCGCTCGCTGTACAAGTGCAAGGGCCTGCGATTACATCCACAGGACTCATGAAGGAGGGCCCGGGGCACTCTGCAGTCCCAGCTGTCCTCTGTCCAGATGCCAAGTGGACGCAGGGAAACCCCTGAATCTCACTAGTCAGCCAGTCTGGAGTGCACAGTGTATGAAACAAGGCTGAAGGTGGAGACTGACACTCAAGGTTATCCTCCAGCCTCTGCGTGTGTGCAGGGCCACAAGTATGTCCACATCTCCACACATGAACATGCAAAGGAGATAGAGATACAGCCACTTACACATTAAAAGAGATTCAACACCTTGTCAACCAGGGAACCATGAAGCAACACTATAATCTAACAAGCAAAAGGAGGAGCAGCAAGTGCTGGGCACACGAAGGAACTTTCCAGCTCAGACTTTTCTAGGTGAATGGAAAATAGTACAATGATTTTGGAAGATACATTGGGAGTGCCTCAGAATATTAAACAAATAATTATTCTTATGATTCAGAAGTTTGATTCCTAGCTTTATACCTAAAATAATTGGAAATAGGTATTCCAAAACTTGTACACAACTGTTCAGATCAAAAGGTATAAATAGCCCCAGTATTGATTCATGACTCACTGATGGGCAAACAAAATAGGATGGCACATTATTTAGTCACAAGAAGAACAGAAGTGAGGATATGTGCTACGGTATGGATTAAACATTGAAAGCATTTTGCCAAATGAAAGGCACAAAAGACAATGTATTGAATTATTCTAATTATATTAAATATCAAGAGTAAGCAAGTCATGCAGACAAAAAGTAAACAGTCATCGCTAATGGGTAAGGAATGGAGAAACTGAGAATGACTTTAATACAGGGTTTCTTTGGGGGAAAGATAAAAATATTCTGGAATTAACTGTGGAAATCAATATGGCGGTTTCTCAGAAAATTGGGAATTTATCTACCTCAAGACCCAGCTATACCACTCTTGGGGCATATATATACCCAAAGGATGCTCAGCCACACCACAAGGACACTTGCTCAGCTATGTTCATAGCAGTTTTATTCATAATAACCATAACCTGGAAACAACTTCAGTGTCCCTCAATTGAAGAATGGATAAAGAAAATGTGGTACATTAACTCAATGGATTATTAATCAGCTGTTAAAATCAATGACATCATGAAATTTGCAGTCAAATGTATAGAACTAGAAAAAATCATCCTAAGTGAGGTAACCCAGACCAAGAAAGATAAACATGGTATGTACTCACTTATACTGGATATTAACTACAAAGTAAAGGATAATCATGCTTCAATCCACAGAGTGGTTAGATAACAAGGCGAGCCCATGGAGGAACACATGGATCTCTCTGGGAAGGGGAAACAGAAGAGATTTCATGGGTGGACTGAGGGAGGGTGGGGATGGCAACATGAGGGATAGGATTGGGGGTAGATGGATGTGGAGAGTACTGAAAGAAATTATGGGAAAGGGGGTGCATCTCAGGGTCAGATAGAAACCTGGTGCAAAAGAAACTCCCAGGAACCTACAAGAATGACCTCAGCTTGTTGCTGCTGTGTTCTTACTGTATTTGTCATGGTGTGATCACTATGTGAAAGGATCCCACTATATCTACCATAGTGTGGTGGTTTCTTGGGAAAATCCCATTCCTCACTGGGCAATTTACTTGTATATCATAATGATGATGATTTTTATAAGAACAATGATGATTAGTAAGGTCTATGATTTAATTGGACTTTCTGAGTTAGCCTAAAAGATACAAGTAGTTAGGACAGTTAGTAAAGATGATTAGAGACACATTTTAGGTTACTCTGACAATTGTTCCTATAAGAAATAAAAAAAGGCAAAAATGGGCTAAAAATTACCTTTTCCTTTATTAGCTATGAAATTTGCAGAAGATGGATGTAGTTGGAAGATTTTCTGTGTCCTGGCCTGCCGGCAGTCGAGACAAATCTCTTCCACTCAAGTCCCCCAAATAAACACATAGAGGCTTATATTAATTATAACTTCATGGCCATAGCTCAAGCCTTTTGCTAGCTAGCTCTTATATCTTAAATTAGCCCATAACTATTAATCTATGTATCACCACATGTTCCATGGCTTTACCTGTGTCCCATTACATGTTGCTCTTTGGGCGGCTTGCTGGCATCTCTCCCCCACATTATTCCTGTCTCTTACTTTGAATTTCCTGCCTGCCTCTAAGCTGCCTTGCCATAGGCCAAACAGCTTTATTTATCAACCAGTCAGAGCACATATTCGCAGTATACAGAAAGACATTCCTGCACCAGATGGAAAATAAAAACAACGAAGTTTCATGCATTATAGACCCATGAATTTTGTCTGTGAGGAGGGAGAAAATGGGCTGGTGATCAAAAAAAATTATGTCCCTATACCCAAGGTTAGACCTGAGTTCCTTGGTCATGTAACTTACATAATTAATCACAGGTCCTGGTATGCACCTTGAAAAAGCAAAGTTGTAAAAGGAAATTAAATGACCCTATTATGTGTGAAGGAAAATGGTGAACTTACCACTCATTCAAAGTTCCTCTAGAGTACAATTAAGAATAGAAATCTGTCACACTGAAACCTTAAACAGCTGCCTGCCAGTACAAAGGAACTGGCTGAAATATACTTATTTTACTTAAAACATTGTTAATCAATTATAAAAGAATCATTGCTTTGGGGTGAAGATGTTATGGTGAGAAGATTAATACAAAGAGAAATGTTTAACTACTTGTGGGCTCCTAAGGAAAACATGTAACTTGTGATCTTAATGTAATTTCTTCTTATGCAGAGATTTCAATTTGTTTTTTGAAAAAAAGCAGCTTGTGGTTATGAGGTAATCTTTTCTTGCATAAGAATCTTTGTCTTGGGTGGTATAAAAGGGATAAGAGAAAAATAAAAGATGTAGTAAAAAGGATAACATTGGGAAAGATGTAAAAGGAGAACAACTTGGAAGAAAAAGAAAAATAGCAGGATAAAAGAATAGAACAGAGAAAGAATAAAGTAGAAAGAACAAACAGAGAGAAAAACAAAATGAAGAATTAAGCTTCAGCCCTCAGATAAGGTGTGTGTCTGTGCATCTATCCCAGTAGTTCACCTATCCACATCTCCCTTCCAGTCTCTCTGACCTGCTGAGAACCTGCTGAAGGTTAGGCCCCCTGTGGCAATGGCCAACTAATGGCTGGTCCAGCCTGAGACCCATCCCAGGAGAGTAAGCCCACCCCTGACAATACCTGGAGTGCTAGCACCCAGAGGCTGGATGGTCCAGAGAGTAAAGATAGAACCAAACATGACTGGAGAGGAAAAAATGTCAACATAATGATGCCTAATGATATTCTGCTATACTTACTTATAGATTGGTAACTACCCCAATTGTCATCAGAGAGCCTTCATCCAGTAACTGATGGAAACAGATGCAGAGACTCAAAGCCAGGCCTTAAGCTGAGCTCAGGAAATCCTACTTAAGAGAGGGAGGAAAGATTGTACAAGCCAGAGGTGTCAAAGACATCACAAGAAAACCCACAGAAACAAGTAACCTGGGCTCATAAGCTCACAGAGACTGAACCAGCAACCGGGGAGCCTGCACGGGGCAGACCTAAGCCCTCTAATATAGGTGGCAGGTTGTGTAGCTTGGTCTACTTG